TCGAGAGTTGTAGCGGCGTGGTCAGCTTCGTCTTGCGTACGTGGCCACTAGGGCCAACACTGCTGATATATTCACCAAGGTACTTTCGCCTGGTGATCATCAGCGTTTCTCTACTGTGTTAGGCCTTGTGCCTACTTTGCCTCACTTGCTTACTGCGTGACTCTGCTTGTACTGTAATCTGTATATATACCTGCATGCTTACACTTTCTAGGGTATGATCACTGTATTGTTTGTTCTCCTTTATATATAACTCTGCATGTGAACTGGCCTTGTGGCCCTTTGCTTGTGCTCGGACTGTGTGGTGACTTTGTGATCCACCCTGAACTTGCTTTGGTTTTCTTGACTGGTCTTGTGACCACTTGTTCTCCCCCACTTTGCCTATGGGGGTGTGTCAGAACATTATAGCTTTTACATTTGTGTAGGCTATAGTGGGGTAGCCCATAAGGGGTACAACTCAATTAGGGTTAGTACTTGTATCCAACTGTTTCATAGTTCATTCATTCTCGTTCATTCTCTTGACGGAATTAGTATCAGGAATGCACCTCAGCACTGATGAATTAGGGCAAATATTTTTTTTAGGGGGGCAAGCCCTGATGGGTCAGGGTCCGCTGAATCCAATCTGAGGGGCTGGTCGATTTGTATTTATTAACACGTTTTTGCACAGGGAAGAGACGAGCCTATTTCGATCAACCACCAACAGTTCGATACCATATATGTGAGATTTTATCTTCGCCGATTACCCTCATTTTGTGAGCTTCGTTGTGCGAAACGATAAAAATAATAAGGTAACTTCACGCTTTAGCAACAATCCAAGCGACCTATCCAACCCTAAACACTGCTAACATGCATAGAGTATACTCCCCTGTCAGACCTACTGCTGTGCGCCAGGCCCCACGATATCAGGGTAAAATACCCTGATTACCTTGATTCCATGATAGTGTCAGGTTTTTTCCCTGCAATTTCAAGATGATGGTATATTTTACCCTGTCACTTCAGGAAAAAAATATTGTTGAGCCCTGAAATTTCAGGAAGGCCGTGAGATTTTTCCCTGCAGCATCAGGACTAAGGTAGAGGAGTGCCCTGACGCGTATGCAGAAGGGGAAGGGGTGTGGGGGTGGGGGGGGGGGGGGATGGGGGAGAGGGGGGAAGGGGTGGGGGTGTGTGTGTACTGGTTTTGTCTCCCCCCGAGGATTTCGCCACTTCCTCGTCGTACCGTACCATGCATGTACCGGGCTTCCCAGTCATATCGCGCCTTCCCCTCCACCTCTCTCATGTCTTGTGATTTTGTTGCACTGAGAGATCAGGAAGAACTCATGTTGGTGCCTTGAAAGTTCAGGATAGCCATAAAAAATTGCCCTGAAAAATCAAGGCATTCTTGAGAATTTTTAAAAGTTGCCTTGAGGGCTCAGGATGCCCGAAATCCTAGCACAGGCCCTGATGTGCGCTGCTCACATGCTGTTTGTACAGTGACCAATCCGAAAGCGGGGTTATAGGGAGGAAATTTCCGCGAATCTTCCTCTCGATAAGGTCGCATTCAGGGACCGCATAATCAATACTCTGTTAAGTCAGGGATCACTAACAGGTTATGCTCAAAATCAGATATATACCGTATGGCCCCGGATATAGGCGCCGTCCGATTAAGGGCGCCGGCGCTTCTATCTGGAGCATGGCGCTTATGGCCGGAAGTCGATTATAAGCGCCCCCCCTCTAGTGGGTGTACTTATTATAAGCGCACCTTTTCACGTTGTGGAGAACTCATTACAAAAAAAACATCTCTAATTAACACTAAACATGAGCATGCTAACTTTACACCTACAACATCATCACTGACATTTTCATCTAGCTACATATTGCAAAGTTTAGCATCTCTACCTAGAAAATCTACTCCTCCTCGTCGGATTCTGGCTCCTGGCAGTTGTTGCCAAAGAAGCCATCGGCGATGATGGAGTCATCGACATCCACCTCCGCGGTCAGCTGGCTCCGCCTGTGCGCCATGGCGAGGCCGTCCTCACTGCCGTCAAGCGCGTTGCTGATGCCACAGGTGAGGAAGGCGCGCTTGATGAGGTCGGCGGGCACTGCTTTCCAAGCCCGTGAGATCCACCTCACGACCACCTCTGGGGGTGGCTTCTTCAAGTTCCCTGTACCAACAGAATCACATGAAATGAGACGGTAGTTAGCGCAACAAAAGGGGGGAAAATCTTCTACGGTAGTCTAGGGACTCGCGTGGCTACCGTACCTGCTTTGGTTAGCTGTTCTTGGCCTTCTTCCTGAAACCACTTCTGATACTGCTGGCGAACGCTCGCCTTAAAGCTCTTGTTGATGGAGACGTCGAGGGGCTGTACCTCCGCCGTACAGCCAGACGGGATGATCGCCGGCACGCAGTTGAGCTCGCGAAACTTCTCCTTAACGGCATCAGTGAGGTGACCGCGGTACGAGTCCAGTACGACCATCGAGCTCCGCGCATGCCTCCCGAACCCAGGCTTTAGAAATGGCTTGACGCACTCCTCAAGCCATTGTATGACGCCGTTGGCGTCCATCCAGCCGTTCTCGTGACACGACACGACCACATCTGCATAACAAACAAGCTTCTGTAAGTCTCTTTAAAAACAAAGACCGGTGTAAAGCAAACAAACAAGAATCCTGACTCACCCGGCGGGAACACCCCTTTCGGCACGGTCTTCCGCTTGAAAAAAACCCACGGCCTCAGCTTCATCCCGTCCGCCGTGCACGCCAACATCACGGTCACGCGCTCCTTCTGGTACCCTGCGCTCCTGATGGGCACCGACCGAACACCGGTTTGATCGACGGTAGTGGTGGCGGGCATCTCCAGCCACAGCGGCGTCTGGTCGGCGTTGATAATCCACGTCGTCTCGATGCCGCGCTCCCGATGCTTGTCACGGACGAATTGCCAGAAGTTCTTGCATTGCTCCGCGACATCTGCGGTTGAGCACAGTTACGGTTAGTGAGTAACAAGTGCATACACATGGCATAGAGAATAAAAATGATTCTTACGGGCGGCGGTTTTCTGGGCGACCTTCGTCTTCATTCGCACGCTGAGATTCCACCGCCGACGGAACCGGTCCGACCACCGTTGGCTCCCTTTCCACTTCACGAGGGGGTAGAGAATCTTCATGAACTCCCGGGACCACTCCTGCAGGCGGCCCACTTCAACTTCTCGACGGCAGTATAGGCCTGACGCTTGTGGTCGTTGGGCTTGTGCCTGGGAGAGGGGGGGCGAGAATCACGGTTCTGTGAAGAAGGGTGAGGTCGCTTACGATTACGTGGAGGATAAGTTGGTATCGGGAGTTTCTCGGGGAGGCCATCGCGTGACCAGTATTCGACGCCGTCGTCGTCGTCACCGCCCGGCGCACCCTCGGGAAACACATCCTCAGCAGTGCCGGCCTCAGTAGCGGCCTCGGTGTCGGCCTCAGTGCGCCAACCGTCCTCGGCGTCTTGCACGTCGTCATCAGCGCCGACTGCAGATTCATCCCACGTGAAATCTTCTGGCTGGCCCCAACGTGGTGCTGGCGCTGGAGCGGGTACGTCAACATCGGGGCCCTTGACATAATCCGGTTCCGACAGATACTCGTCGAACGCCGATGGGAGCAGGAGCGTGAGCACGGGGTGGTTGTCGATGTGAGGGGCCACCGGACACGGAGGAACAGGAGGAACAGGAGGAGCAGGGGGAGTCGGAGGCACTGGAGGAGCCGGAGGAGCAGGCGGCGCAGGAGGCTGTGGTGGCTCTGGAGGGTGTGGAGGTATGCGGCTATACCACCCGTCGGATGTAACACGGTACGCGGGCCTACTAGAAGGTTTTTTCTTGAAGAGAAAATGAGTGCCTGTGAATTCCGCCATGGCTTCCGCAGCCAGGCGGGCGAGAAAATGAAGACTGAATCAAAAACTGCAACCCTGGGTGTTCAAATGGGAGATTGAAGGGGACCCCTTCTGGTTTGCGGCTCGGGGTCCTCGTCGATGAGAGACGAGTACACCCCTGCCCCAACCCGCAGAGGAGGGTTGGGGGCACCATCCATGCTGCGCTGGCACGGCAGATTCCATCTCGTTCTGGATGGTTCTGCCGAGATGCTCCTGCCTGGCAGCGCATGCCAACCTGATTGGGCCGCACGGCAGGTTTTGCATCAGCGCTGGCAGGTGCGTTGCACCGGGACGGGTTTTGTGCGGTGGGAAATCGAACCGCGGCAAGTTTCGACGTCATTCCATGCACGACCCCGCGTGCATGGTACAGTGCTGTACTCGCCTTCTCCACGGCTTCAGAATGATATCCTTTACAGAGAAATTCATTTTTGCCTTTATAAAAGCGCCGGCGCTTATGGCCGTTACTCAATTACAAGCGCCCCCCTTAAAAAATAATAATTTATTATAAGCGCATATGCACTACTATCCGGGGTATTACGGTATATATTTATAGAGATACAAAAACTATTACTCTGAATCAATCAGTGTTCAGAAACTGCTTATTCTGAATTTTCTGAGACTCACGCTTAGCATGTCTGAAATCTCAGACTAGGAAATCCCAGCATAAAAACAGCCGTGGTCGCATGCCAACTACCCTAGCCGACTAGCTTACATCGCCTACAAAAACGGGGTAACTCAGGCATCAAATGTTTTGCAATTGATGGCAAATTGACACGTCCAGAATGTGTCAGGCTAAATTGAAGCACAAATCTAATTTCCAATTTTTAGTATTCCTACTGTGGTTACAGGTTATGGTAACAGATACTAGAATGATTAAAATCATTGGTTGCATGACACGCCTAACATCCTACCAACTCATCCTCTGTGAGTGAACTGCAAAAACCCGAAACCCGAGGCGAGGGCTTATCAGACAACATCGTTCAGATCCTTGCTTCTTTCTACCACGTTCTGCACGGACGTGGTACAAGCAGAGCTGCAGATCCAGCTACAGACGAGCCTGTTATAACTAACTAGCGTGGATTAAGCTAGCATAAATCAAGCTAGCGTGAACCAATTGAAGTCTCAACATGGCGGGCGGCGGCGCAAGGACGCAGAAGAACAAGGCACACAAGTCGCGCTTCGGCGCCAAGAGCCAACGCGCGTTGCACAAGGTCGCCAAGGGTACGCCCGTAGTGCCGCCGGAAGTGTCGCCCGTAGTGTCGCCCGTAGTGTCGCCCGTAGTGCCACCCGTAGTGCCACCCGTAGTGCCTCCCGTAGTGCCACCCGTAGTGCCGCCCGTAGTGCCGCTCGTAGTAGTGCCGCCCGTAGTGCAGCTCGTTGCTCGCATTTAGGTCGCCGCAACGGTCCAATTTATAGTTGACTCAAGCGTCACCAAGGGGGGGGGATCCTAGCGCTCGTCCGCTCTAACGAGGTGACTTTTGAGTCGCCTCAACGGTCCATTCGATAATTGACTCAAGCGCCACCAAGGGCGGGATCCTACCGCTCGTCCCTTCGCCTCGCCTCTCTTGTGACGTCATCGCATCGCCAAGGGCGCATCTTCTCGCTTTCGCTCGCTGCGCCGCTTACGACGTTACTCGCAATGACGAAATCGGCGTGCGAAACCGCGAGCGTCAGCGTAACGAGTCGACTGCTTTCCAGCTTCTAGCACCGCTCGTCACGGAATACCCACTCGCTCTGGCCAACGTTTTGTTGCTTCAAGCGAAAACCCGTTCGTTCTTCCACGTTTTGCCCTCTCATCTGGACGTGGTTGGATCCCCCCACATGCCTCCCCGCAAATGCTTCCCCCCAAATGCTTCCCCCCAAATGCTTCTCCTTAAATGCTTCCCCCCAAAAACGGCCCCAGCGTCAGACGGCGGAGCAGCAGGGGCAGCGCGCGGGGGCGCGAAGGGCAAGGGGAAGGGCCACGGCGCCGTCGCGAAGGCGGAGAGGCTCAACCGCAACAAGCTGGTACGATAGGGTTACCAGCAGTTCGCATGGCTAGAGTTTCGTAACCAGGAGAGAGGGCAGGGCAGGAGGGCAGGAAAGCAGAGCAGACGGGCAGATAAGGAGGAGGGCTCAGTAGGGGGGCAGGCTAAGAGGGAGGAGGGCTCGCAAGGGGGCAGCCCTAAGAGGGAGGAGAGCTCACCAAGGGGGCAGGCTAAGAGGGGGAGGGCGCGCAAGGGGGTAGGTCAGGGGGGCAGGCCAGCGGGGTAGATGAGAGGGTAGAGCAGCAGCCCCTGGCGGCGCTGGCAGAGGCGCATCAAGGGCGGAGCGGAGCAACTTGGCGCTTGCTTGCTTGTGCTCGTTCTTCTTAAGGGGATAACCTGGGGCGCGAGGTTTTGCGTCCAGAGGAGATGGGCGGCCGAGATTGGCACGGAGGTTCAGGGTTTGAGTCTTTGTGCGGTAAATGGGTCTTTACATGCACACCTAGTATTCAAAATTCAGGTTCTAGAGCTCCTGTCGCAAAATCCTCTTCTCCTCTCCTCTCCATCCCTTCCCCCCTCTCTCGGTGCCCCCCCATCCCTTCTCCATCCATGAGCCAATGTGCTACCCTCAAACCCTTCCCTCCCTTGCCCCCTCCCAACCCCTGTCGTCTCCCTCTCAGCTGTGGGACAGGAAGCGGGCGGACGGACGTGCTGACGGCCAAGAGAGCTCTCATCTCATGAACGGGGGGAAGAGAGCTCTATTGACTCCCGCATCTCATCTCATCTCTTCCCCGTTCATCCCTTCTCCCCTCCTCCCTCCCAACCCCTTCCCTCCTCCCACCCCCTGTCGTCTCCCTCTCAGCTGCGGGACAGCAAGCGGGCAAGCATGCTGGCGGCCAAGCGGGCACTTTCCACTGCCTCATCTCTTCCCCGTTCATCCCTTCTCCCCATTTCCCTCCCAATCCCTACACCCCTGTCGTCCCACCCATCCACAGCTGCGGGACAGCAAGCGAGCAAGTGTGCTGGCGGCCAAGCGGGCGCTCTCTGCTTCCTCCACGCCGCCCCGTCTCGTGGTGAGTCGCCCCCCTCTGAGGCCAGGCATGTTAGATCTGCAATGATGAGTCGCCCCGCCTCCCGTCATGTTGAGTTGCCCCGCGTCGTGGTGAGTCGGCCCCAAGGCCAGGCCAGGCGTGTTTAGATCTGCAATGGTGAGTCGCCCCCCCTAAGGCGAGGCGAGTCGAAGCGGCAGGGAAGAGAGTGTGTGAGGGAAGGTAAGGCCGCAGGGGTGAGTCACGTCCCGTTACCCCTAAGGGGCGAGGTGAAGTGAAAGCGGTAAGACGCTAAGTTACTGGCTCGCCTTGCACCTAAGCGAGTTGACTTTTGAGTCGACTCAAAAGTAAGACGCTAAGTTACTGGCTCGCCTTGCACCTAAGCGAGTTGACTTTTGAGTCGACTCAAAAGTAAGACGCTAAGTTACTGGCTCGCCTTGCACCTAAGCGAGTTGACTTTTGAGTCGACTCAAAAGTAAGACGCTAAGTTACTGGCTCGCCTTGCACCTAAGCGAGTTGACTTTTGAGTCGACTCAAAAGTAAGACGCTAAGTTACTGGCTCGCCTTGCACCTAAGCTATGTCGAGAAAGACGCTCAGGAGGGCGAGCGTCCCGCATCCGGACGCTGGAGTCACGTCACCCCTAAAGGTCCTGGTGGAAGCGGCGTGAAATAAGTGAATTTGTGAGACGTCTAAAAAATACACTTATTTCATATGGCTGGCTAAGGGGCCAGGTGGAAGCGGAAGTGAAGTCAGGGCCGACAAATGACTGACCATGCCTCTTTATGCCATGGCATGCCTGCCCATGATTCGTGCAATTTGTCCTCTTGGGCCTTGGAGAATTCACAGTGTTGTACGTACCTTTGACAACCCCTGCCTACCCTAAGCGTTGTGTGGAAGTCGCTAAGCGTTTCCATCCATGCATCCATGCGTGGAGTAAGTCTGCAGCCCGGCAGTGAACCTACCTCTAACAACCCCTACCCTAGCTCACTCACTCTCCGGGCTCAGTGAAACCATTCTCGTGTCAAGCAGGGCTTTTGATTCTTGAATCAACACTACCCTGAATCGCTAGGCTCAGTAAACACACACACCCCTGAGTCAAGTGGGGTTCGAGGTCGGGAGTCCCGACTCGGGACCTGACCCCTTAACGCCTCCACTCCTCCACATCTCCACTGTCCTCACTTTGCCTTTACCCCCCAACCCAACCCCCTTCTCCTCCCACCACCCCCCTCCCCTCTTCCCCCCCTTCTCTTCTTGCATCCCTCGTCCATTGTTTTCCCGCCCCCCACCCACCCCTGTGCGTGGCAGCTTCTGATTGGTTTATCTCGCCAGGTGGACGTGGCTCACCTGGCAGATACGTTCGTTGAGGCATGCGCTGCCTCAGGTGCCTCTCAGGTGGGTCTCTGCTGTCTTCAGGTGCTGTCACGTCACCCATACCCTCGTACCATGCCTGCCTTGTAGCTTTCTCCTATCGTTTTTGTTCATCCTTCAGCCCTCCTATCTCCCATCTCCTGCAGTTCTTCTTTCTCCCCTCTCCTTCACCCCTCCTACCTCCCATTCTCTGCATCTGCTCCTCATTCTTTGCCACTCCTCTCCTCTGTTTTCCTCCTCCACCCTCCCACTTTCTTCCCATCTCCCACTGTTCCAAACTTAAGTATATCCTGCATCAACCGAAACTCTTGTATCCCCCCTTTCCTACCCCCCAACCGCATTCAATCCAAACCCTTACATCCCCTCTCCCCGTTCGCCCCTTTCCCCCAAAATCCCAACCCCCTTTCTACACCCGCTTCCCCCCTTGCAGTCTGCAGGCCCCCAAGCAGCAGCAGGGCAGGGAATGGAAGTGGAAGGGGGCCATGCGGAGGGCAATGGGAGGGCGCAGGGAATTGGGGGGGTGCGCCTGGTGGCTCTGCCCAAGCTCAGGGCGCGCTTTGCTGTGAGTGCCCGTTCACGCGCGCAACTCTGCGCTAGACATGAGCAACGAGCGAACCGAACACGTTTGTCTCGAACAGTTTTCATAAATGTTAGTGTTTCCCGTTCGAGTATAGGGTCGAACAGTTTTGAGGCAAGGCCGAACACTAAGGTGTTTGACCCGAACTCGAACAGTTTGCTTTGGGGGGTTCTTTCAGTATAGTCACATTAAGGCAGGGCGAGTGTACTAGAAGCAATATCACGTTTCCTATAGCCCTACAAGAGATATATTTAGGCTTGGCGCAGATCTGGTGGATATCCAATTTCGCATTGCTAAACTCCAACCTAAACCGAAATGCCCTTAGTACCTATTTTTAACCGTCTCCTACCCCAATCCAACCTTATACCTAACGTTTCCAGCCACAATGTGGAATTTTGACCATGGGAATGTGGTAGTTTTAGTGGGTAGGGGGCGGAATGTCATCCTTAGGCTATATCGACGATTGAGCTCATTCTTGAGCTCAATCGTTGCCCTCCCCTTTTAGATCCAACCAGCATGTCATACTTCGACACGCTGAATTTTCTCTCGAACGCCTAGGTGTTCGAGACGAACACATTGTGTTCTCGAACACCTTGGTGTTGGTGCATTTTTCTGCACTCGAACACTCGAACAGTCGAACGTGTTCGTGACGAACACCTTGGTGTTCGTCACGAACAATTTTGTGCAAAAAAAACAGTCGAACACGTTCGAGTCGAACACTTTCGAGTCGAACACGTTCGAGTCGAACACTTTCGAGTCGAACCGAACAGAGGTTCGAATTTTTGCTCATGTCTACTCTGCGCTTTCCTGCCTGCACCATTCAGCTTAGAGGAGATTCTGTTCCTTCTTTCCATCTGTTCGAGTTCCTTCTTTGCTTCTCGCCTTGCCTGGCCTTGTTTGCAAACAGCCCCATACGCTCTTTGGCCATGCCGAGCCTCGTTTGCTTGCTGTTGGTGTGTGTGTGTTGTGTTGTGTCTGTGTAACAGTACTTGCTGTTAGGCCAGGTGCAATGTACGTGCTATGCCATGTGCTGTCTGTGTGTGCTGCGTCCTATTTCTCTCGGTCATGCCTTTTCGTATTCCCTTATTCTCGCTCCCCTTCTCCCACTTTTCCTGGCTCTCCCGTTTCTCTCGTATTCTCGGCTTTCTCCCCTGTGCTATCTTCTGCCCATCCTCATCCTCATCCTCATCCTCATCTCCATCTCCTCTCCGTGCGTCCCCCAGGTCGTGCCGTGCCCTCCAGGGGATCTGCTGCGATGCCTCGAGCTCATCAAGGTGATTCTTCTCGTTTGACGAACCCTATCAATGCTTCACCAAGGTGTCTTTCTCTGACTGACTGACTGACTGACTGACTGACTGACTGACTGACTGACTGACTGACTGACGATTAAAGCTTGCCAAAAAAGCACGTGCCCCCCTTTCTCCCAGATCGCATGGTAATCTTTGCGTCGACAACCGAGATGAATTATGAGTTTATTCAAAATTCACCTCCTAATAACACTCTTCCTTTCGACTCCCAGATCACTCATAACCCTCGACCCCCCGCCCCCCCTCCTCCTCCCCACTCCCAGATTGCAGACGTGGTAATCTTCGCATCTACAATCGCCCCCATCGACCCACCCCCCCCCTCCACACCATCAGCCCACTCCACCTCCTCCCTCCACACCCACACCACCTCACACTCCCACACTCATTCCCTGCGCACCACCACCACCAACAAATCCTCCTCCTCATCCCCCTCTGCTGCATCCTACATTGACGACTGGGGGCGCTCGGCCCTCTCTGTGGCCCGCGCGCAGGGCTTGCCTCTCCAGGTCGCTCTCGCCTCCAGCCTCTCCTCCCCTGCCTCCTCATCTGTATCTTCACTTTTTGGAGCTTCCATGCTCCCGTTGAGCCAGCAGCAAGAGGGCCAGGGGGGACAGCAGAAGGCGGGAGGCGGGGAGGGGAAGCGGCACGGGGAGCAGAGGAAGGGCGCTCTGGCGGTGCTGGGAGGGGAGTTTCCCAAGGGCACGTGCCATGTGTTTGCCGTCGACTCACTGGCTGAGATGGCACCGGTAAGTTGAGATGGCACCGGTAAGTTGAGATGGCACCGGTAAGTTGAGATGGCACCGGTAAGTTGAGATGGCACCGGTAAGTTGAGATGGCACCGGTAAGTTGAGATGGCACCGGTAAGTTGAGATGGCACCGGTAAGTTGAGATGGCACCGGTAAGTTGAGATGGCACCGGTAAGTTGAGATGGCACCGGTAAGTTGAGATGGCACCGGTAAGTTGAGATTTTCCTGGTGGGCTGGATGATATTTCCGTTTCTTTTTCGTGGGAGAAGCGGAAACAGTTTGTAATATTCGCTTTTCTGTATGGGCCTCTTCCGTTTCCATTCTCACCCTGCCCTGATGCAAATCTCCCTCATCCTGTTTCTAGCCGCCCTTCTCAAATATTTCCCTGCTTCAGCACTCCTCCCCTCGAGCCCACTGCAGGTGGTGCGGCACATAGCAGAGCAAATTTTGAGGCGCCTCGAAAGTAGTCTCGAACCTTTCCCTGCCTCACTTCTCCCACTCCCCTTGCGATTGCGGCAGGTGGTGCGACACATAGCAGAGCACCGCCCCGTCACTCCTGGCTGGCGCACTCACCGCCCCTACCTCGTGGCACACAATGTGAGTGGACCTTTCGTTGTGTGTGCACCAGCGCGCGCACAGACACACACGCGCACACTCCCGAGTGGCGAACGCACCCCCTCTACCTCGTCGCACGCGCACACTCCTGGCTGTCTTTGCCATCACACACACGAACGCACGCACACATCGCTTTATTCCTCCTTTCCTCTGACATCAACTCCTTTGCTTTCCTTCCTCTAATCTGCCCATGTCATCCAATCCACCCCTGTGAACCCTCGGCTCGCTCCCTCTCCTTCTCCCTCCTTCGCCGCCAGTTTGACTTCGACCCCGGCGCAGCCGACGCAGGCACGGCAGCAGCCACTAAGAGCGTGCCATGTGGCACGTTGCGGGTGGTGGGCTACGTGCGCGGCCACGGGATCAACGTGAATCAGTTGGTGAGGAGAATCTTTAGGGGGGTCTGTGCGCACATAGCACTGTGGGGAGAATGAGCTGGTGACGGAAATCGTAATGGGAAATTGTACTGTGCCCATGTGACATTGTGCGTTCGCATGTCGTGTCTGTACTCATCCTTCCATCCAGTTTAATCCATTGGCTGATCATTATTATCCTGAGTGGGGGCCGACTTTCCATCGGACCCACGTTTTCACCCCACTTCCCTCCTGTCGTTTAAACCATTTTCTGCTCCTATTCTCGCGCCCACTCACCCATCCCCCCTTTCTTCTCTTTCTCTCCCTCATCCCGCCTCCCTTCCGTGCACAGGTGCACATCACAGGAGTGGGAGACTTTCAGCTGGCCAAGTCCCCAAGTGCCCAAGTCGACCAAGTGCCCGATCCCTGTGCTGCTGTCTCTCCACCCCCACACTGCTCTCCCCATCCAACATACAGGTGCACATCACAGGAGTAGGGCACTTTCAGCTGGCCCACCAAATCGACCAGGTGCCCAATGCCTGTGCTGCTGGCAATCGCTCACATTCCTCCTATTCTCGCACCCAATCAGCCCTCCCCCCCTCTCCTCTCCCTGCGCAGGTGCACATCACAGGAGTGGGAGACTTTCAGCTCGCTCAAATCGACCAAGTGCCCGATCCTTGTGCTGCTGGCGAGCATGGGCGAGCGGGGGGGAGGGGCGGTGGGAGCAAGGGGAAGGAGAAGAGGAAAGGGGGGAAGACGCAAGAGGGAATGGAGGTAGAGGAGGGAGAGGAGGGAGAGGAGGGGGAGGAGGGGGAGGTGGAGGAAGAGGGGGAGGAGGAGGAGGGGGGAGTGAGGGTGCTGGCTCGGTCGAGTGCTGAGCTGAGGGATCCCCTTGTGGTTCTCAACACACTTGACCCGCTGGCCGGCGAACAGGTGCGGTGCGGTTAGGAGGGAGGGAAGAATGGGGTAGGGCAGGGAAGGGGGAGATGGAAAGAGGGGAGCGAGGGTGGTGGTTTGGTCGAGCGCGGAACTGAGGGATCCCCTTGTGGTGCTCAACACACCCGATCCGCTGGCCGGCGAACAGGTGTGGTTGGGAGGGAGGGGGCGGATGAATAGGTGCTGTGCGGTTGGGAAGGGGCGGGTGAAGGGTGGTAACGAGACATAGGTGCTGACACGTGGGATGGGTGCTGACACGTGGGATGGGTGCTGACACGTCAGGCTTCTTCCCTTCCCGCACACAACCCCATCCATCCCATCTTCCTGCACCGCTCCCTCCCTCCCCTTCTCCCCCTCCCAAATTTTGCCCAGACATGGCCGACAGAGGAAGAAATGGCAGCAGCAGAGGCGGAGGAGAGGAAGAGAGCGGAGAGCAAAGCCCTGGGCGGGGGAGGAGGGAAGGAGGGCAAGGGTGGGGCCAGGCGCATTCGTGTGCCGAAAGGAACCTCCAGTTATCAGGTATGCTCTGATACCTTCGTGAAGGGTATTCTTCTTTTGAGGCGCCACGGAGTGACCCTACGTACACTGCATTGATAATGAATTGTATTCCGTTTGTTTTACTGCTTTAATTATTTGTTATGCGCTGCTGCCTTATCCTTCTTCCCCTCCCCCCCTCCCCCCTTTTTTTTTGTTGTGTGGCCGTTTTGGTGTCGACGTGCGTTGTTGCAAGCTGGTTAAGACGATTTTTTTAAGCTCCTCCAGATTTGCATGAAGCTAAATGATAATAAATCACTGTGTCGCTCCGTTGTGTTGCATTGCAGGCGGCATGGATGCAAGGTGGTGACGAGGAGGAGAGCGAGGGGGAAGAGGAGAGCGAGGGGGAAGAGGAGGATGGGGAGGAGGAAGGAGAGGAGGCGATGGAGGAGGGAGAGGAGAGGGATGGGGGGGAACAGGGTGGAGTCGAGGAGGAGGAGGGGTCTGGGAGTGATTGGGAGGAGGTGGATGAGGATGAGGGTGTGGGAGGAGAACGGCTAGAGGGAGGCAGCTCCCACGATGGGCTCATGGTGTGTGTGTGCTGCTTCCATGGTTCCATGCCATGTGTTGTGCCTCCCTACGGCTCCCTGCGTAGCACCTCCATCCCTTCCCTTCCGCCTCTCATCCACCTTTCACCCTCCACCTTTCGTCCACTTTCTCCTGTGTTTGTGGTACAATGAGCACGATGCAGGATGAACACACCCGCTCCCTTCCTTTCTCTCTCATCCCTCCCCTTGTGTGTTTGTGGCTAAATGAGAAAGGAGCAGAGACAGAGAGGCAGCCTTAGAGACATACCCATCTAAACCCTGCACACAGAAACATGAGGACAATGCCTCCACCATCCTCACTCACCCATCCCCCTGTGTGTGTGGCAGGAGGAGGATGATGCAGAGGGGGAGGCAGAGAAGAGGGCGCGAGCACAGTGGGAGGAGATGAAGCGACTGAGGACACAGCAGCAGGAGGACCAGGGTGGGTGTGATGTGGTGTGGTGTGGTGTGGGATTCAGGTTCAGGGTGTGTGGTGTAGTAGGGCATGGGTACGCTGAGTTTCGTAGGCATAGGTAGCACAGTGGGAGGAGTTGGATAAAGCGGCTGAGGACACATCAGCAGGAGGACCAGCCGAGGTGAGCTGTGTTCGACAGCAGAGTGATCCAAGCCAAGGTTACTGCAAAGGGGACAGTAAGTGCGGTCATAGTGAGTATTATAATGAGGACGCATCCCCATACCCAAGCTTGAAACCCAACTGCAAACTAGGGTAAACCCTAGTTGGCTGCCCAAACTATCTTGACTGAAGAAAGCTTGTCAGTGCGTGCGTGCAGCATAGATAGAACTATAGACGTATTTTGACCGGAGTGCCCCGTAGTGATGCGCCACCAGGCGATTCCTTCCAGGCAGCATTTCGTGCCTTCGGGTGATCAGAGCTCGTTCCCCACCTCACATCCCGCATGCCGCACATTTCCAGTCCATGCCCTCCCCTCCAATTGAAGATTTATGACGAGGGGGTTGTGTTAGAATTTATATATTATAGCATGCGAACACTCCTGACTGTACACCAAGAGTGGTGTACAGTTGGGTTGGTTCAGGCTCTAGTTTTGGGTGTATTGCGGGTAGACACCCTAATTGGGGTGAACCCAAATTTCCTAGCTTAGACTTGGCTCCAACCTTGTTGGCCAAATGGGGCAACCAACTTTGGTTGGTTGGCCACCACCCCACTAGGGTTGGTTGGATGGTCCTTCCTCCCACTAGCCTACTTGGTCTTGGTGTCTTATGTGCTAGGTTTGGTGTTCTTCTCCAACCTTCTCTCCCTTGTATAACCTTGTGCTCTCTTGAGCTAACATTATCGATTCTTCCTCAAGTTTCTACACCTTCTAGTTTCTTTCAGGTTGCACTCCAGACAAGCATTTCTGCCAGGCAGGCAGCCCTAGGACAACCATCCCATGCACATATTCCCTGCATCCCCCCACCACCATCTCATCTCTCCTATCTTTGTTCTGAGGTGTCTCAAAACTTCTGTCTTCTCCGTTTCTCTCCCATCCTCTGCCTTCCTAACAGATCATTTCTCCCCTCTAATCGTTACACACCGCAGAGTTTAATGACGAGGTGGACACACCAGACAACATTTCGGCGCTTTCCCAACCGCACCTCCCCCCCTTGGTGTCCCCCGTGCGCTCTCCCCGATTCCCACTCGCCCCCATCCATTTCCATGCTCGTCCTGCTCCAGAGTTCCCTGACGAGGTGGACACGCCGGACGACATCCCGGCGCGGCAGCGCTTTGCCAAGTACCGCGGGCTCAAGTCCTTCCGCTCCTCGCCGTGGGACCCAAAGGTAGTGTGCGGTGATGTGCGGTGTGATGTTTGGTGTGATGTGCCATGTGCTTGTCTCTAGCTACCTCACAGCTTTGCCAAGTACCGCGGACTTAAGTCCTCCCGTTCCTCGCCGTGGAACCCCAAGGTACTGTGCGGTGCTGTGCTGTGCGGTGTGATGCACTTTAGTCCTCTCATTCCATTGCCAAGTACAGAGGGCTCAAGCCCTTCCGCTCATCGCTGTGGGATCCCACCATGGATAACAAGTATTCTTTGCCAGATTTCTCTTCCGCTCCAGGCCAGGTTCTCCTGCCGATCAAAGTCATCTTCTCGTTTGACTACTGGAAAAGGACGCAGAAGCCAACAGGGGAGAGGACAGCGGTGTGGCATCTCTCACATTTCCTTCACTAAGCCCCCCCCACCGGCTCCCTCCCCTCAACCCAACCTCTTCTCTGCCGCCCACAGGAGTCCCTCCCCTCCCGAGTAAGCGCGCATATTCTGCTTGGACAACTGGAAGAGACTTTGAGTCGATTCAACAGTCCCTCTGTTATGACATCCCTCCCCTCCCCCCACCCACCCATTCTCCTCTCTGCCGCCCACAGGAGTCTCTCCCCCCCGAGTACGCGCGCATTTTCTCCTTTGACAACTGGAAGAGGACGCAGAAGGCCGCGGAGGAGCGGGCGGCAGCAGTGGACCGGGGCGAGGTGCCTGGGTCAGTTGGGGCGGGGACGTTTGTCAAGTTGCACATTATGAACGTGCCATGCTTCGAAGCAGGTATATACTTTATGAACCTTGCTATTGATGATGATGATGTCCCGTTTGATATGTGCATGTGTTTGGCAGTGTGCATGTGTTTGGCAGTGTGCAGTGCATGTGTTTGGCAGTGTGCATTGCAATGTTTAACCCGCAATGTGTGCATTTGTGTGTGAGCAATCATGCATGCATCTTGCAGGGCCGTGGAGGTGGGGATGCAGGCAGTCAGTATTATAATCTATTCAGTAACCCTATTCCTTTGTTGTACACCTCGCTTTCATTATCCTGGCTACGTGGTCTTCTCTTCATTTACAAACACCAAGTTAATCCCCAAGAGCCTTGCTTTTCCTTCCTGGGCTCTTTCAGTTCCTTCCGCCGGCCCTCTTTTCCCTGATCCCCTCCCTTTCCCCCACCCTCCCTTTCCTCAGAGCGTCTGCAGCACGAGACGGCCAATCGTGGGCTGCCACTGGTCGTGACGGGGCTGCTGCAGCACGAGGTGCGCATGACAGTGCTGCACTTCTCAGTCAAGAAGGCCGACTGCTTCGCCGCCCCCATCAAGTCCAAGCAGCGCCTCCTCTTCCACTGCGGCTTCCGACGGTTTTACACTCGGTGAGTGGTCGTTGCTGGCGGTCAGTGCTGGTTGCTGCTGGTGCGGTTACTGGTGGTGGTGGTGCTTGCGGTGAGTGTTGGTTGCAGGTGGTGGTGAGTGTCAGTGGTGGTGGTGGCTCTGCCCCCATCAAGTCCAAGCAGCGCCTCCTCTTCCACTGCGGCTTACGCCGCTTCTACTCTTGGTGGGTGCGGTGCAGTGCGGTGCTGTTGATAGGGGTGGTCCACACCACACACGGTCAGTGTGCCTGCTGCTGCTGGTGCAGGTGCTGGTCGGGGGGAGTGCAGCACGAGAGATTTCAGGGACGACAATAACCACAAACTACCCTTTCACCCCCTCCCTCCCACCCTCTTCAGCCCCACCTTTTCCCCTTCCACCCTTTTCCCCTCCCACACTTTTCCCCTCCCACTCTTTTCCCCTCCCACCCCTTTCCCCTCCCACCCTTTTCCCCTCCCAACCTTTTCCCCTCCCACCCTTTTCCCCTCCCACCCATTTCCCCTTCCACCCTTTTCCCCTCCCACCCTCTTCCCCTCCCACCCTCTTCCCCTCCCATCCTCTTCCCCTCCCACCTTCTTCAGCCCCACGTTTTCCCCTCCCACCCTCTTCCCCTCCCACCCTCTTCCCCTCCCATCCTCTTCCCTTCCCACCCTCTTCAGCCCCACGTTTTCCCCTCCCCTCCCACCCTCTTTCCCTCCCACCCTCTTCCCCTCCCACCCTCTTCAGCCCCACCTTTTCCCCTCCCACCCTCTTCCCCTCCCATCCTCTTCCCCTCCCACCTTCTTCAGCCCCACGTTTTCCCCTCCCACCCTCTTCCCCTCCCACCCTCTTCCCCTCCCATCCTCTTCCCTTCCCACCCTCTTCAGCCCCACGTTTTCCCCTCCCACCCTCTTCCCCTCCCACCCTCTTCCCCTCCCACCTTCTTCCCCTCCCACCCTCTTCTCCTCCCACCCTCTTCCCCTCCCACCCTCTTCAGCCCCACCTTTTCCCCTCCCACCCTCCTCCCCTCCCACCCTCTTCCCCTCCCACCCTCTTCAGCCCCACCTTTTCCCCTCCCACCCTCTTCCCCTCCCACCCTCTTCAGCCCCACCTTTTCCCCTCCCACCCTCTTCAGCTTCACCTTTTCCACAGACAACATCAGACCTCGACAAGCTCTGGTCTTGAAACACGAGTTGAAGCTGTGATTTGCATTCACCTACTGTGCTTCCGTCCCCTTCTTCCCCCCCACCCTCTCCCCTCTTCCCCCTTCCCCACCTTCCAATTCTTACCATCTTCCTCTCCCCCCCCAGCCCAACCTTGTCAACGGACGGCATCAACCTGGATGAGCACAAGTCTTGAAACGCCTTAATGCACAAGTTAAAGCCCTTAACTATTCCCCCCCCCCCCCCCCCCCCCCCCCTCCCCCCCCCCCCAGCCCAACCTTGTCAACGGACGGCATCAACCTGGATGAGCACCGGTCAAGGGGGTGGTCATCCCGACAACACAGTCTTGTTCAGCTTCAGTAGGACGCTGAAGCTGTGATTTGCTTTCACCCACTGTCCTTCCGTCCCCCTTCTTCCCCCACCCACAGCCCCACCTTCTCAAGGACGACATCAACCAGGACAAGCACAAGTTCGAGAAACAAGCTGAAGCTGTGACTTGGCATTGTGCTGTGCTCAACTCAACCATTGTACTGTGCTCCCCCTCTCCCCTCACCCTCCCACCTTCCAACCCCTCTCCCCTCCCTCCCCCCCCCCGCAGCCCCACCTTCCCAACAGATGGCATCAATCTAGACAAGCACCAATCGAGAAACACAGGCTTAAGTTGTAATTTGCTCCCAACCATTGTCCTCCCCTGCGCCCAACCATTGTCCTCCCCTGCTCCCAACCATTGTCCTCCCCTGCTCCCAACCATTGTCCTCCCCTGCTCCCAATCCCCCTCCACCCCCCACCCACCCCCCCCAGCCCCACCTTCTCAACGGACAACATCAATCTCGACAAGCACAAGTCTTGAAACGCCTTAAAGCACAAGTTAAAGGCCTTAACTATTCCCCCCCCCCCCCAGCCCCACCTTCTCAACGGACGACATCAATCTCGACAAGCACAAGTTCGAGCGCTTCCTGCACCCGGGAAGGTTCGCGGTAGCTTCCATCTTCGCGCCCACGCTCTTCCCGCCGCTCCCTCTCCTCGTCTTCGCTGACCCGTCTGCGGCCAATCAGCATGCAGGAGACGGTGTGGGGGGAGGGAGTGTAGGAGGGAGTGTGGTGGGGGGGAGTGTGGTGGGGGAGGGGGAGGAGCTACAGCTGGCGGCAACGGGGGCTTTAAGAGGGCCGGACCCTGATCGAATCATCCTGAAGAAGATTGTGCTGTCGGGGTGAGTTGAGTTGAGAGAAAGGCACGCGCTGCGGGGTGCTATGAAGCATTGGGGTGTTATCAGGGCACTTCTATGGAAGACAGGTTGTTCTTGGCTAGATTGATAGGTGCTTTCTCCTGGAGTGCAGTGCAGCAGGGTGACGCGAATCAGTGATGCAGTGGAAGTCAGTGGCATACTCACATATAGATGTGCACTCATGCGTTCACTCCCTTCCTCCTCCCCTTCCCTCTCCTCCCCGTCCCCCTCCTCCCCGTCCCCTCAACCCCATGTGCAGCTGGTGATGAAGCGCAAGGCAGTGGTGCGCTACATGTTCCGCCAGCCACCTGAAAATACTCACATATAGATGTGCACTCATCCTTTCACTCCCGTCCTCCTCCCCATCCCCCTCTCATTCGCAGCTACCCCGTGTCAGTGATGAAGCGCAAGGCAGTGGTGCGCTACATGTTCCACCAGCCAGAGGATGGCAGATGGTTCCAGGTCAGTGCCACGTCAGATGGTTCCATGTCAGTGCCACGTCAGATGGTTCCAGCTCAGTGCCACGTCGGATGGTTCCAGCTCAGTGCCACGTCAGATGGTTCCAGGTCAGTGCCACGTCGGATGGTTCCATGTCAGTGCCACGTCAGATGGTTCCAGGTCAGTGCCATGTCGGATGGTTCCATGTCAGTGCCGCGTCAGATGGTTCCAGGTCAGTGCCACGTCAGATGGTTCTGGGTCAGTGCCACGTCGGATGGTTCCATGTCAGTGCCACGTCAGATGGGACCAGGTCAGTGCCACGTCAGATGGTTCCAGGTCAGTGCCATGTCGGATGGTTCCATGTCAGTGCCACGTCAGATGGTTCCAGGTCAGTGCCACGCCAGATGGTTCCGGGTCAGTGCCACGTCAGATGGTTCCATGTCAGAGCCACGTCGGATGGGACCAGGTCAGTGCCACGTCAGATGGTTCCAGGTCAGTGCCACGTCAGATGGCTCCAGGTCAGTGCCATGTCAGATGGTTCCAGGTCAGCACAAACCATTCATCTCCCTCTTCCGTTTCCTCCCACCTGCTTAATCATCAACATGCACCGTGCACCACGCATGCCATCCCCATTTACCTTCTCCCCCATCCCTCTCCCCTCCCCCTCTTCCTTATCCCCCTTTTCCCTGTCTCTCTTATCATCCCCTTGCCTCCCGCCCTTCTCACCCTCTCTCCCATGGAATATTTTTACCAAGCACCTTGGTGTGGCCGCAGTCGCGTTATGCACTGCGCCCAACCCTCTGCCCTCTTCCCACTCCCATGTCCTCCTCCCTCCCTCTCTCATCCCAGGGGGCGCATGCACTCGAAACACACTATGCACAGGAGTTCCCTCTCCCCGCTCTCTCCGATCCCCACTCTCCCCTCTCCGCTCCTCCCTGCCTTCTCCTCTCCCTCTTCCCTCGCACCAGCCAGTGGAGCTCGTTACCAAGAACAGCCGGAGGGGCCGCATTCACTCTGAACGCACTAAGCACAGCACCCAACCCTCTTTCCGCTCCCCACCCCCCCTCTCTCCTCTCTTCCCTGCCTTCTCCTCTCCCTCTTCCCTCGCACCAGCCAGTGGAGCTCGTTACCAAGAAGAGCCGGAGGGGCCGCATTCACTATGAACGCACTATGCACAGCACCCAACCCTCTTTCCGCTCCCCGATCTCCTCTCTCTTCCCTCTTCACCAAGTACGGCTGGACGGCCGCATTCACTCTAAACGCACTATGCGCAGCAACCAACCATCCTCCTCCCACTCCCCACTCCCCACTCTCGCTTCTCCTCTCCCTCGTCCCCCTCACCAGCCAGTGGAGCTCTTTACCAAGTACGGCCGGAGGGGCCGCATTCGCGAGCCTGTGGGCACCAAAGGTGGGTGGGTGTGTGGGTGCTGTGCTGTGCTGTGCTGTGCTGCACGCAGAAGTTCCACATAGTGTCTGTGTGTGGTGGTGGGCATGCATGGACCATGGTGACTTCTGAGGCGCCTCAAAAGGGTGTGTGGGTGCTGTGCTGTTCTGCACGCGGAGTCTCCACAGAGTATCTGTGTGTGGTGCGCACGGACCATGGTGCGTGGAGGTATTGCTTTTGAGTCGACTCAAAAACAGGAATTTCCACACAATATCAGTGTGTGGTGTGCCAGGACCATGGACCAAGGTAGGTGCAGGTATCCCAATGTCCCGGACAAGCAGGTGCAATCAACTGTGTGTTTGGCAGTGTGATGCTATCGTGTGTGTGGCAGTGTGATGCTATCATGTGTGTGGCAGTGTGATGCTATCATGTGTCCACTGGTGCTCACTCCTTACCCATCTCCCCCACTTGCTTCTATTCTTGCTTCTATCCCTCTTGCGAGCATCCCAATGCCTCTCATCACCGCCCTCCAGGAGCAATCAAGTGTGTGTTCGATTGGGTGGTGCTATCGTGTGCTCACCCGTGCTCACTCCTTCCCCGTATCCCCCTCTTGCTTCCACCTCTCTTGCTTTCACTCCAATGCCCCTCGTCAATACCTCTCATCACCGCCTGCCAGGAGCAATCAAGTGTGTGTTCGATGGGGTGGTGCAGCAGCGCGATGCCGTCTGCATGGCCCTCTACAAGCGAGTCTACCCCAAGTTCCCCGTCCTGCCAGCCTCCCTTTGAGCAAGCGAGTCTACCACAAGTCCTCCATCCTGCCAGCCTCTCTTTTGAGTTGTTGCATCACACGTTCTAGTCTGCATGGCCCTATCCAAGCGAGTCTACCCCAAGTTCCCCATCCTGCCAGCCTCTCTAGAGCAACCACTAGTCTACCCCAAGTTCCCGTCGCTGCTGATAGCATACATATACCACGATACATGCACAGTTTTAAATATTTGAGATTATATTGTCACGGTTCAAATACAAACATACGGTAAAAAGCCTCCGAGCAACCGCATGTACGGATTGCTCCATCAGACCCTGCCGATCCGACTGATCTCGCAGCTAATTGATAGCGGCATGTTTCCGTTCTTGACAGTCCTGAAAGCAAGAAACGGTATGGTATGGAATGATAGTGAAAGGTATGGTAGTGATGAGGACAAACACACAACATACGCAAATCGAGAAGAGAATCTTAAATGGTTGTGTATGCTCGGAATAGATCGCAAGAAGCACTTAGAATTGGCGTGCATCGCATCATGGTCACACACCTTCACGTGTCGGGGTAGACAGTCCCAACCCTCTCAGGTCGAATGATCTTCAAGCCCGGCTTGCCCTTGCAGTTCCGGGCGTTGTGAAACAAAACGCTTGCGCATACGCCGTTGCCATACCCGCTGACAACTGACGACGCGTTCCACTCGAGGATGATTTTGACATGGGCGTTTGGCTTCCTGAGCTGGGGGTTCAGTGCGGAGCTGGAGGCCAGGTCGCTGCACGCGGTGCCACTGTCTCGCGCTGTCAGCAGCACCGAGGAAACGAACCAGAAGACCTCCTCGCCTGAGCCGGTCTGCTGCAGCCGCACTGCCGTGTCCAGCACGGCATCTGAGCGGCCGGCCGCCGTGGCGACTGATGAAGCAACAACGGATGGTGCGTTGGTTGGAGCCATATTGTGGCAGTTGATGGTTGTCGTGGTGATGATGTAGGCCGACGCCGCGCCATCCAGTTGGGGAAGAGAGAGGGGAAGGGAGCACAAAGTAAGCCAAGAGGGGGTTTGGGGAGTGGAAGTTAATGGGATGGGGGCATGGTTGGATGAGGGCATGGTTCAGGTCATGGAAGCGCTGGATCTCAGGGCTGCTCTAGGGGCTCAGACGTGTGAAATTATAGTGTGACTATGTGACCTTGACTCGGCAAGATGGCGACTAACGACCAAGACTCCTAGCTGTTCGGCACCGACGCGACGGTGTAATGACGGTTTCGTATTGACCAGGTGCGACTGCTAGCAGCTGCATGAGAATCGGTGTAGGGTGGCGTGAGTCTTGGGAGTTAGGTGTGCTTCTTTGAGAGTCACGCCACTCCTTGCAGTGTTGGCTGGAGTGGCGTGTACGGAATGCATTTCGCTGCTGAGTTGGATGGAAGTTCGGCGGGGCGCGTTCACCCATCCGCACACCACTTTCGTGGGGTTGGGATACACCGAAGCGCCACGCAACATTTGTGCAACTCTTGCTTGCCTATATTTGCATGTGTGTTTGCTTTTGTATCCATGGATCATATTACATTTCTTGTGAAGTCCAATTGCTACTTGAATTCTCACTAAGTCCTTGGAGACAAATGCTACTGAAACACTACCGAGTTGCTGGCGCAACACCATTCTCATATCAGAAACTCTCTCGCTATCGCTACGCTCTCCATAGTATTCCTTCATGGTGCAGTGAGCGTGGAACGAACACGCATAGCTTTCCGTCGACGTTCGTTAGTATACTCGCCTTGGCATGCGGCGTTAGTGAAGGGCGCTCATTAATTTAAGTTGAACCTCTCTTAATTTCCCTCCAGTTACGCTCTCAGACCCAAGGATAGGGCGTTTGGGAATTCATTACCACTCGTCTGAGGACCCTAACATTATATTAAGAGCTAGTAGGTCCTTAGGACCAGAAATTTAATAGGGCCCATCGTTAGTTCCTGCCCGAATCGCGCCCCTAGGCGTGTCGCGTTTTATTCTGCCCAAAACGAGCCTAGGCACGTCGATTTTCACAGCCTAGCCCTACTGCCCCACTGCCCTGCCTGAGCGCCGCCCTGCCCGCGAGCGATCTGCCTGCAGCTGCGCCGCCCTGCCTGCGCGCTTTGCACGCCCACCCGCCCGCTGCCCGCACACGCTTTGCTGGCCCCGCCAGTGAGTTCTGCCCCACAAACGCGCTGCCTGCCAGCAGCCTGCGCCCGGCCTGTGCCCTGCCCACGTGCACTCCATGTGCTCCCTGCCCGTCCGCACTGCTACGCGCTGCTGCTGCTGTCATTTCTGCAGCTTCTACTGCTGCATGCACTGCTGCTGCTGCAAAGCGCTGCTGCTGCAAAGCGCTGCTGCTGCTGCTAAGCGTGTTGCTGCCACTGCTGCATGCTCTGCTGCTGCTGCTAAGTGATGCTACTGCTGCTAAGCGCACTGCTGCCCAGAGCTGCTGCTGCTGCTAAGCGCTGCTGCTGCTGCCTGCCCCACCCGCAATCGCGCTGCCTTGCCTAGCGCATTGCCCGCCTGCGAGCACGCTTCCTGCCTTTGAGCGCCACTGCGCCCCTGCCCGCTCGCGCTGCCCGCCAGCAGCCTGCGCCCTCCTGTGCGCTGCTGCTGCTGTCACCTGCGCGGCCCCTACTGCTGCATGCGCTGCTGCTGCTACTTGGAGTGCTGGAGGTGCTGGACCTACTACTGACCGTCACTGCCTGTCATGGCCACTATCACGGCAGTTGCAGCGGCTAGGGGTGGAAAGCGGCGATCACTGCCTCTCCCAGACGACCCCACCCCTCAGCAGCTTCGCGAGTGGGTTCTTCAGCAAGCCCGTCCAGGTGGTGGAGGCTTTGGCTTTCTACGTACTGCACAGAGGCGGCAGCAGAGTCAGCAGGAGACCTTCGCCCCGCAGGTGCTTAGTGAGTTGTTTCCTCCGCGATGTGTCACTGGTTCTGTCGAGGCTGCTTCACTAGGTGCTAGTGAGTCTGCTGCCGCACTAGGTGCTAGTGAGTCTACTGCCGTACTAGGTACTAGTGAGTCTGCTGCCGCACTAGGTGCTAGTGAGTCTGCTGCTGCTCCAGATGCTAGTGAGTCTGCTGCAGCTCTAGGTGCTCGTGCGTCTCGCGCCACAGGTCCTTCCTCAGCTGAGGCCTTGCACACTTCCACACTTGACTCCGGTGCGTCACCTTGCTTCTTTCGTGACTGCACCACACTCACACCACTTGCTGCACTGGTACCGGTCTTACTGGCTAACCCCATTGGGGGCCCAGTAGTCGCACGAGCCTCCACTGTCCTCCCATGTCCAGCAGTCCCCTCCAGTTCTCTGTCAGGTCTCCACCTCCCCACGTTCTCGAAGAACTTGGTGAGCAACGCTGCCATTCAGGATGTCTGGGTTGATACCTTTATTCCTGGAGGGCAGCGTGTGGCGATCTGTACGTGCCCCCGGACTGGCCGTCACCTTGCTACGTTCACTCGACGGCCTGGGTCTAGTCTGTACACACTGACCACTGCGTCTGCACAGGTGGCTGAGGCAGGTCAGGTGGCTGCGTCGAGTCAGGTGTCTACGTCTGGTCAGCTTGCATCGTCTTGCTCGTGTCGGGTACTCTCCCACCAGACTCTCCTCTGGCACCACCGCCTCAGTCACCCCTCCCTGCCGCGTCTACGCAGCATGCACTCCCGTCTCCTTGTCTCTAGCCTTCCCAGGTCCCTGCCCTCCCTCCCGCACTCGCCTGCCCCGCCGTGCCTTCCCTGCATTGAGGGGTGGCAGCGCGCTGCTCCTCACTCCTCCGAGTTTCCTCCGACCACTGCTCCTCTGCAGACTCTCCACATGGACGTTTGGGGCCCAGCCCCTGTCGGTGGAACGGGCCAGGAGTGCTACTTCCTGCTGGTTGTTGACAACTACACACGTTACACCACTGTCTTCCCGTTGCATCGCAAGGCGGAAGTCAGCAGTGCTTTGATCCCCTGGATCCGTACTACTCGTCACCAACTGCGCGATCGGTTTAGTCGGGACTTGCCAGTCCTGCGTCTGCACTCTGACAGGGGCGGTGAGTTCTCTTCTGACCTCCTTGCGGAGTTCTGTCGAGACGAGGGCATCCGCCAATCGTTCACGCTTCCGGCCTCTCCTCAGAAAAATGGGATTGCTGAGCGTCGCATTGGCTTGATCATGGAGGTTGCTCGTACCTCCATGATCAATGCGGCTGCTCCCCATTTTCTCTGGCCGTTTGCGGTCCGATACGGTGCGCATCAGCTCAACCTCTGGCCCCGTGTCTCTTTGCCAGAGACCTCGCCCACACTCCGTTGGACGAGACAGGTTGGCGATGCGTCAGTGTTTTGGGTCTGGGGCGCGCTCTCCCTTGAGACTGGGGGTGCTGATTCTGGGGGTGCTGCGAGTCCTGGTCCCGTCCTACTGGAGGTACTGGAGCTGCTAGTCCTGGAGGTGCTGGAGCTGCTGGTCCTGGAGGTCCTGCTAGTGCTGGAGGTGCTGGAGGTGCTGCTGGAGGTGCCGCTGGAGGTGCTGGAGGTGCTATTGGTGCTGGAGGTACTAGAGGTGCTACTGGTGCTGGAGGTACTAGAGCTGCTGGTGCTGTAGGTGCTGGAGCTGCTGGTGCTGGAGGAGCTGGAGGTACTACTGGTGCTGGAGGTACTGGAGCTGCTGGTGCTGGAGGTACTGGAGCTGCTAGTGCTGGAGGTCCTGCTGGTATTGGAGGTACTGGACCTGCTGGTGCGCTTTGCCACCTTCTCGGTCTTCCGCCAGCTCCTACTGAGTTCCCAGTCTCTGGTACTACTCCTCCGTTACTGTTCCCACAGCTCCTGCCTCACTCCCCACTGCCTGCTCCTGCTCCTTACACTTCTGTGACAGAGTCTTTGACTGAGCATCGAGAGCCTGAGACTCGTGCTTCCACTCCTGAGCGTCGAGAGCCTGAGACTCGTGCTTCCACTCCTGAGCGTCGAGAGCCTGAGTCTAGAGCTTCTGTCCATGCTCAATGTTCCTCGTGTTCGTCGTTCTCGTGCTCCGGCTGTCCCAGGCACTCACGAT